ATGTAAAATTTTATAAACTAAGAAATGAGAACATGTTCTGTGACATAATAATATTTTCTATACGTTTGACTGTAAAAATGAGTTATAATCCTCGCTATAAAGAAAAGAATAAACCAGATTGAGAAGAAGACATAGGTAAATAAAAAGTAGTTCTTAGCTGAACCCATGAAACTCAGACAAGGAAGCAAAAAGTGCGCCAAGAGTGTGGGAAACTTGGAACGGGATCTAAAGGGTTAAAGATACACCGTTGTGTTTACGTCGTCTGGTCACAGCGGAGAGACCAGTTTTTCTGATGGGCTCTGCATGTTACTGTATGTACAGCCTGAACTCTTTCTTTCTAACACAAAAGAGTCTACGGTTTGCCTGCTTTAACCTGGTCAGTTTCCTCGCGTTTTTTTATGCAGCGCTCGAGAAGCGCTTTAAAGCGAACACACTGAAACTGGTTTCTAATTGGCCAATACTGCTCGTGACGTCATTTCGCTACACTCTCGCTGCATAAAAAAACGCGGGGTTTGCTGTCTACAATGTCATACTGTAGTTGCGCCAAAGCCCATACTTTTAACAGCGATCAGATAAAGAGAATTTCTCAACATATTTTATTGGTAAAAATATTATAAAATTTAAAATTTTAAATTAATAGGCTCTAAACTTATTTATTATTTTTATTTCTTTAAATAGAATTGATTTTTGAAATTTAAAAATGTCTGATTAAATCTTGCTTCAAAAATTAAATTTTTACAGGATTTAACTCGAGAGATTCTTAAAGGATAAAAGTTTTTATTTTACAGAAACTTCAAAAGTTGAGAGATTAAACATTTATTTTAAATTGCGTTTGAAGTAATTTAAAAATTTTTACTTGAGTAGCATTCAGGTTTCCTTTACAGTGAAACATAGAATTGGGATTTTACACAATCAGCACAGAAGATAGTTAATGATCATGTCCTATGCAGAAGTCTAGAGATTTACGTCATGACTGGTGTTTCTCCACTGGCATTGATCCTGTGCATCCGTTTTGTAATATTTTAGTGTCTGCATATTGTTGAAGGATGATGAAGAGTTGGTTAAATTTCGCTTAGCTAAATATCTGATTTTAATTCCTGAATATTCAGGAACTAAAGTTGGGCTGTTTCATAATAATATTTTGAAGAATTATCTTTCCTAAATTACTATCGGCTAATTTGAAAATAATTTGATGCGAATTTTTTAAAATATAGTTTATTTGAATATATATTAATTTTTTATTTCAATTTTAAACGAATTCTTTTCCTTCTTATTTAAATATTTCATTTATTTAAATTTTATTTTGTTAAATGATTTTATTTGTTATCTAATTTTATTTTTAAAAATCAATAAAAAGCTTAACGTCTCTTATTTTATTTTTTAAGATTTAGCTTAAATATATAATTAATATTTATCATATATCTAAATCTAAATAGGATATTTAATAGAAAATGTATTTCCTTATATGCTTATATTTTAAATTTTCATATATNTCAAAAATTAACTTTTATTTTAAAACAAAGCGTTGTTGTTTATGCAAAAGCTTAAAGGTTAATTGATCATCTCGGCTTGTCTTGTTAAAGTGTTAAAAGATTCTTAGCCTCAAGGCTTAAGGTATTTTTTTTATGTACTAAACCAGGTGGTTCTTGGTCTGCGATGTTTAACAAGTCTAGCCTTGGGCTGTTTTACTAGCTCATCCACCAGATGGCGCTCTTGTTTATCGCCATCCTCATCAAGATGGCGGAAAGACTCTAATCAAGATAGTGGAGGATGCACTTCAGCAGGATGTTAGGGGGAAAAAAGTCGCCTTTCTAATTTTTACATTGCAGTTAAAGTCATTGTTCTAAGCATAAGCCTTTTAAATGTTACTTAATCTGATGATATAAGAGAAATTCGATCGAATAGCAAATCAATGCTTATAAACCTGACACTAAATCAAATAAAAAAAATAAATAAAATAATTTAAAAAACGATAATAAATGAAACGAATGTTAATTTTGAATCAATATTTTTTGTCTGGTTCGACGTTTATAAATTTTAATAAATATTTAAAAACTAAACAATACAAATTTTAATATAAGACTGATGATTTTACAATGATGTAGACAGTTTTGTATTAGTAATTTATTTTTCTTTCCAAATTCTAGGTCATATTTAAACATTGGTAAGTTTTTCTAAAACAAATACTTGTTAATTACAATTATAATTTATACCATTTTAAATTTTAAGAGAATATTTTGTATAGAAATCCCTTTATCTGAAAGATCATAAGTTTGAAACCTATAATTAAAAACAAGTAGTCATATCAATATATAACTGTTATAATTGATTATATTAGAGTCAATAGAAGATAACAATCTTTAGGAAATCTAAAGATGGAGAAATCCAATTAAAGAACATTTTAATCCATTTTGGCTTATAGAGTCAAACTGATTAAAACATTAGCTTCGATTAACTTAATTAGAATAAATAAAATTTCCAAGGTAATTTCTATAATAAATGTACAGTTTTAGTGATAATTCGCAACAGAATTTGTATTAAGAATTCGTTTTATATGTAAAATAGGAAAATTCTTATTTTAAACTATTTTTCTGTTTCTTAATCTAAGAATTAAACCCTTATCATGTTTTTTATTAGATAAATTTAGTAAATTAATCAACTATGTAACATAATTTTAATAATATAATTTATTTATGATTATACTAAAATGCATTTATTGAAAAATGTTGTTATTATTGAAATAAATTTATACAATTTTATGTTATTAAAATTTTAAGCATGCAAGTTTTTAGTATAGTTTTTAAGTGAGGGAAAACAGCAGAAAACAATCCCCTATCTTGTAACTAATCTCCAACCTGTTCTTATTATATTTTCCTATAAGTGATTAGAATAATAATTATAAATTTAATATTTTAAAAACCTGTAATGATAATTAAACTTGTTTTTTTTTTAGGAAAACTAATTTTTATTTCACAACAATGTTTCTATTTATTTTATATAAATGTTT